AGAGAAAACAGTTTGGAAGAAATTATAAGAACATGCTATCTCCTCATGATACGACGTAATTAAAGAATTACCAAAGAACCACTTTTCCATTGACATCCTTATTATAAAGAAAAGGTGATCTAATAGTGTCTTCCTGAAATATTTCAGCTGTAGTATCAGAAGAATTTAATTCATCTTCACATGAGTCACCCCAGTTCGTTAGTGTATCCACATCTACAAACTGGGAAGGTGCACCCAAAGGATCCATGGAATGAGAAGTTTGGTTTGTCTTTTCCCAAATTCCTCAGCAATTCAGTATTCACTGGAGACTTTGGCTTAAGAGAGAGAGAGAAAAAAGAACATTTTAATAGAGAAGCACAATATTACTTGAATTCCATTAAATTAAAAAATAAAACTCTAATATGAAATACTCCAATGGTACATTATGTGATTATAGTCACTTAAGTAGTCCATTAAAAACAACAGACAACAAAAAATTGCTACAATTTTTCTAAAACCAGAATAAAGGGAGATTATTTAATCATAAATTCTTTTCAAAGAATTACAGCCATTAAAATAATCACATGGCTCGCCAGTTCTACTTTCCAGAAATAGGACTATTCATTCAACATTTTCTGAGTGCCTACTATTAAAAAAAAAAAAAAGTGCTAGATGCTGCAAAAGATACAAAGATAAATTACTTGGCCTCAAGGCCACATATAGCCCTCCAGATGTCCAAGTGTGGCCCCTCAACAGAATCTAAACTTCAGAGGACAAATCCCTTTATTAAAATGATTTGTTCTGTAAAATTTGATTCAGTCAAAAGGCTGCACTCAAGGATCCAGAACTGCATGTGGCCCCAAGACCACAGGTTCTCCACCCCTGAAAGAGTTCAGTCTGATGACAATGTAGAGGATATATTGAGTAAGACAAAACGAAACGCAGGGAAGTTACTGCAATCAATTAGCAGGAGATGAGAAATGTTTCAACTAAGTAGCAAAAGAGATAGAGAAGGAGGCATAAATTTAATAGGCAAAATACAAAGGAAGAATGAACAGAAGCTGACAATTTATAGGATATGGTATATGAGACAGCAGTGTGGTAGGTAGTTGGATGTACCGAAATGTGGAAATTAGAAGAGGAGGGTGATAGGAAGACACATAGTGTCAAGTACTGAAGAAAAATCATGGGAAATGCCACCAGAGAAAAGGACAATCAATCTGCCAATAAGTCAGCTGCTTCAGCAAAACGGTAGGTTCATTCAACCAATAAATCTTTGTAAGCATCTATTATGTATTAGCTAGTATTCTGGGTACTGGGGATATGCTGGTGAATAAGACAGAGCAGTCCCTGCCTTGGGGGGCTCATGCTTCTGTGGAGAAGAGATGAGATGGTAAGTGATAAAGAAGCAAGCAGGTACCTAACAGTATGACTGGAGGCAGTAAGTATTATGAGAGAAAAGGTGACATCTGAGCAGAGTTAAAGTGGGAGAGCAAGCCCTGTGACATTCTGGGGTGTCTTTCAGGCAAAAAATATAGCAAGTACAAAAGCCCAAAGGGCAGGAAGGAGCTTGGTGCATTCTAGGAAGAGCAAGGAGATCCCTTGGCTAGAGTAGAATAAGCTAGGACTAGGTGATGAGTGGTAGGTAATGAGGCTGGTGGAAGAGGGAAAGGCCAAGATGATACAGTTTATAAGCCACGGTAAGAAGTTTAGATTTTTTTTTTTTTTTGAGACAGAGTCTTCCACTGTCGCTCAGGCTAGAGTGCTGTGACGTCAGCCTAGCTCACAGCAACCTCAAACTCCTGGGCTCAAGCGATCCTCCTGCCTCAGTCTCCCGAGTAGCTGGGACTACAGGCTGGCATCACCACACCCAGCTGATTTTTCTATTTTTAGTAGACACAGGGTCTTACTCTTGCTCAGGCTGGTCTCCAACTCCTGACCTCAAGCAATCCTCCTGCCTCAGCCACCCAGAGTCCTAGGATTATAGGCATGAGCCACCAGGCTGGGCCAGAAGTTTAGATCTTATTCTAAATATGTGGGGAAGCTATTAGAGGATCTTGATCAAGATAATGACTAAGTATAAACAACAGAGATCAGTAGAAAATGATTACAGTAATCTAGGTGAGATGATGGTGGTGAGAAATCTTAGATTTGGAATGTATTTTGAATCAACAAGACTTGCAAGATGTATATAAAGGGTGGGGGAAAAGAGCAGAATCAAAGATAACTGCTAGATTACTTGCTTAAGCAACTGAGTAGATGGTAATGCTATTTACAGAGGAGGGGGAAATTGCATTAGGTTGTAGGGTGGAATGATAATCAAGGGACTTTTTATTCTTATGTCTTTTTGGATATGCTAAGTTTGAGATGATGTGTTTATATCAAACATACAATTGGCTATATGAGGCTAGAAGTTGAGCTAAAGACATAAATTTGGAAGTCTCAGCATATGGATGGCATTTAAAGCTATGGGAACTGGACAAGATAGCCTAGAGAGTAAATGCAAAAAGACAAAAGAGATTCAAGGACTGGATCCTACAGCAAAATTCAGAGGTTGGAAAGAGGACAAGTCAGAAAGTGAGATGAAGAACTGGTAAGAAAGGAAGGAAAATCAAGAAAGTATGGTAGCCTAAAGGCCAAGTAAAGAAAGTATTTCAAGGAGTGCTTGAGAAGAATCATAGTTCAATGCTACGGAAAGGCTGAGAACAGGACTAAGAACTTATTAGTGGATTTGGTAAGTTAGAGGTCGCTGGCAATATGAACATACATGAGAGCTGATATATGATCAGGGAAAGAAAGCTGGTGTGTGGACAAACCCACAGCCAACATCATAATGAATGGGGAAAACTTGAAAGCATTCCCACTTAGAACTGGAAAAAGACAAGGATGACCATCGTTACCACTTCTAATCAACATGGTACTAGAAGTTCTAGCCAGAGTACTCAGGCAATAGAAGGAAATTAACGGTATCCAAATGGGGAAAGTGGAGGTAAAACTATTGC